GGAAAAGAAAATGGATTTGTGGAGAGATATATCAATACACTCTCTCGAATAATCTTCCTTTCCTTCCTTCCAGAGAAATGGCTAAATGTTGTAAAATAGGTATTCGTTATAACAATACAAGACTCAACTAGAGGAAACGATACTGTCATTGTTTTAAAGGAGGGCTGTAATTAACGCCACATCTATGGCATCTCAAGAATAAGCCCTGTAATTTAAATTGAGCAAATAATTGTCATCTTGACAAGACAGACACAACAGTTTAGAGGAGATTTATCATATCACCTCTGAAAAATGCTGCTGTGTGATAACGTAGTGCTATTATTCTCCATGTAGAGTAGGCTGTGGTGGTAAATGATGTCATACAATAACTCAATCAACTCACTTGTAAGGGCATCAAATTACACAGCTAGCAGCTTATGTCTTGGAGGATCACCAGATAAAGATACCTTTCACTACACGCTTACCATTTAGATCGTTCTCATTTCTTGTCCAATGTTACAATATTCTATGGAGAATGGTCAGATCATGCAACGTGGAACAAAATGCAAAAAAAAAAAAAACATTACCCATGATTCTGCACAAATATTTCCAAGTCACCAGAGAATTGTGGCAAGCAAATTGTGGCAAAAGAGCTCTATACCACCCACTCCCATGAAGCCCTGCAAATGATGTAATAGAGTCTGTCTGTCTACGTATCTATCAATCAATGTAAAATATATTGTCTCTATATACATAATCAATATATTTAAAACAATCATTTTATATTTCTCCATCACTTTTTATTTGATTATGTCATTCGCAATGCTTTGTGTGATTGTACTTATTTTCCTCATTAAACACATTGTCTTGTAAATTTGTCTTTTTGTCTGATTTTCACATGCTGTTCTTAATGTTGCGATTCCTCTCATAACTGGTTGATTTCGTTTATGGCTTATAGCTCTTTTTAAAAAATCCCTATGATAAAAAAAAAGCGCTGATTGAATGTTTCAACTAAGGTAGAGACTAAAGGCACCATCATTACAATGTCTCCTAAGCATAGACCTATATCCGTGAGTGGTCTATCTCTTCTCCTTATAATATCTCTAGTAATACTAAGGTAATCTACCACAGCTAAACACAGATATCACAACATATGTTGTTGATCATCATATCTGGCACTGAGGTTAATAAGGTCTCTCCGTATAGCACAAGCTCTTGTGGTTGCTCTCTGCCCTAATTATTGTCTCTATTTGTGGCTTTTTTGTTGTTTTATTTTATGCAAAACTAATTATTGGCATAATTGACTGGGCTTTAGATGTGCATGTGCGCTCACTTTAACTACCTTCCCTGAACAGTCTTTCTGTTGTGCCTGCTTGTTTGTATCTAAATGTGTGTGTATTTGTGTGGGTCTGTGAACCGTTGTTTGTTGGTCTGTTGTGTTGGTCGGTCTTTTAGTGTGTGTGAGAGAGTGAGAATGAGAAAGAAAGGAAGAGAGAGAGAGAGAGAACACATTTTAGGAGATATTGTTTATAGCCTTCTTAATTAGGCTCTCCATTCAGCGTGTGGGTGTGTGTGTGTGCCGGAGACAGCGAGCGACAGCAGTGTAAGACGTTTGACATGGTCCTACTGATCATTAAGTATGTGACAGCGTGCACCTTGTCATCATGACTAATAAACTGACTGAACTACCATTTTTGAAGCAGACAGCAAAAAAGCACAGTGAGGGGTTTCCACGTTTATTTGCCGGCATGAGCAAGTCCTGCGTGAAGAGAAATCGCAAGACGTGTGAATTTGCATGTCACTGCATCATAATTAAAGGGGGGGGGGGGGGGGTAAACAAACACTAATGTTAATTTGATATTTCCACAGAACTTAATGACAACAACAATGCACAGTCCTAATGCTAGTAAAAATCAGTGGATTTATAATACTTAAAATGTTCACTAATATTCACATAATCGAAGATGTAGATGCCGAGGGATTAATAATCGGTCTATGAGCGTTGAGATCATAAATTGGTTGCATTTATGTCCTCACCTGACTAGTTAACTCATTCATCCTCTAAAATATCAATATTAGCAATATTGCTTGGAGTATAATGCAAAAATTTCCATCATATCTATATCATATAAACCAACATAGGCTCATTGCAAAAACTCCACTCACATTTTTGCATACATCCAAAAAATTACCTATACATATACACTGAAATGAACATTAGCAGCAGTAAAACACCAACTAAACTTATTCCTTTTTCCACCAAAATAATAATTACGATTATAGATGGATTTACTTCCTGTGAAACACAAGTCATGATAAAATAACACTCGAAGATGCATGCTAAAATGGCATGCTTGCTTCAGCATAGCGTTTAATTGGATAAGTTTAGTGTTAAGGTTAGGTGTGTTGTTTTCAAAAGTGATAGAGCATTACCCTTTTAGCGGAAATACATCTCACCGGACATTTCATTTCCGACCTGCCACAATACGTACAACAAGCAACATAATAAACGTTGCCAGAGTCACGTTCATCTGTTTCAGATAAAATTGAGCTCGCTGGACACTCACTGGACATTTTACATAGAAAGTGTGGTGAATCATGCAAGAAAAAATGTAATATAATTTTGCAGAAATGTCACAGGCTCGTTTTTACAGTGAGCCAGGGTTGATATAAACGGGTCTGGTAAAATGTTAAGGTCCGGTGACATTAGCGAACTTTCAGGCAAAACAATGGTAAATGTGATTACACCTTTAGATAAATATTTTAAAAAATATAATAGGTTTCTTTGTGTGGCCATGGCAGATTTCTAGCTGAAGATGTCTGACTAATGATTAGTGTAAGACTATTATCTCTGAGTTGTATTGAATTTCCATTCACTCCCAAAGGAAAACCATCACAACATATACAAAAAGATTGATCGGAGCACCACCTATTAAGAAAACCAAATCTTGAGATGATTAATGATGAATAAAATCCATTAATTCTGAATTCAGATTATTCTTGACTAAGAATGGCTCTGTAGAACTATAATGACAAAGCAATAGACAGTGTTACAAAAACAAAATTGTATATCCAAGGCAACCTGCTGGTTCCTGATGTTTTGTCTCACATGAGTCTTATCTGTGAGGACACATCAGCGGCTGGAGAATAACTTCCCACAGAGACTCTTTTTATTGTCCCAAGGCACTGGCTCTGAAGACAATAGCAGCAAGCAAACAAGCCCCTGGCGACAACCAAATAAGACAGACAGACTTGTTTTTGACCTCTGATTGTATGAAATGAAACTCACAGCGAGACTTAAAATGAGGTGGACCTGAAATTCAAACAATACATAATGTATTGGCACTCAAATATACATGTCACAATTATGACCTCTTCAAACTATGATAAACGTTTCTGGATAAGGCACTCATGGATATGATGATGAACACTCATAAATTATTCAAGATCCTGACATAAAAGACAACTTCATTCTGTCAGAGCTCTGCCTTTGATTCGAAGCCAGGAGAAATGTCTCAAACACCAAGGCTTGATCTCAAACATTGTGCTAATGTGGTACGGCTAGTTTTCAGGATTAAAAAGCCTTAAATTAACTAATCTTATACAGAAGAATGTTTTGCATGCAACTCTCTTCAACACGGTCATGAAGAGACAACTAGTAAAACAGATTTCATCATTCCTGAATAACAATCGAGTACTTTTTCTCATAGGACCTGAGGAAATGCCTAATGGTATTGCTATTTTCACAAGGGATATATTCACCCTTGTTGATAGAAACCCCTGAAAGCAATGTTGCATCAAATAAATTGTGTTTTCTATCATCGTAAATGCTTCTATGGGGTTTTAAGGTTTGTATGTTGCCAACAGACCATTGACATGTTTTTGATATTCATTATGTTCACAAAGCCAACTTGTCAGTGCCCTGAACTTCCAAAAACCATCTAGATTTATGCATCTTTATATCCTTAGTCAGCAAACACATAAAACAAGCATTTCAAGGAACAAAGCATATATCTTGGATGCTTTGGACTGTTTTCCCAAAGTCCAATAGTGAACAAGAATGTATAAGTGTGATACTGTCCCACTAAAAGGTTTTCTGAGTAGTAATCTGCTTTGGCCAGCTAACACGTCACGATCGCCGCTACCATTTAATCTACACCAGTTTCACCTCAAAAACGTGATTGGAATTGAGTGGCATTGAGTGATTGGAAACGTCTGCCAATATGCTGTATTGGAAAACGTGTCAATCGTGAAAAACATGGTAGTGCACACTAGAAGTCACGGCTCCTTGTTTCTGTGGGAAACTTTCAGAGCATTTTGTGAACATCTCTCTCAGTCAGTCTGCTTGAATTTACAGCCTGCAGAGTGTCGCATATACACAGTCATTATTTTTTGGGGTTCTGACATCCTGATTTGTATTGAAAATGGGATCTCTGCAAGTGCTCAGGTCAAGTGGCATGGTAAAAAATGTCCCTTGCACAACACTTTCCCACAGGCATTTCCTCTATAGGTATTGTACTGTCTTTGTATTGTTATCTAACCTAATGTACCTTAAAGGGTTAGTTCACCCAAAAATTATGTCATTAATGACTCACCCTCATGTCGTTCTAAGCCCGTAAGACCTCCGTTCATCTTCGGAACACAGTTTATGGGGTCTGTGGGACCCCCCTGGGGGTCCCTAGACTTCACTTTTTAAAAAAAACTGTAATTTTTGTGCAATTTTTGGTATCAGAAGTATCAGAGAAGATGCGATAAAGCTCCTGACATTGGAGTAAATGCTGATATCTTTTACATTCTATTTTTTAGTTATAGAACAGAGGGAAAAAATGTTTAGTCCTAATGCGAAATGGAAAACAGGAATAAATTAATATCCTGATGCATTTTTTATGTTGATTTAAAATAGGGCTGAATCAATCATCTCTCCTATAGGCTATATGTTGTTGTACTATAGCAAGAACAAGTGCTGCTCACCCATTCTTCATTTCAACAGCAATCTGTTGCATGCGCCTTTGCCCTCATACCTTTTGCTGTCGTCTCGCCATGTCGGTCGGCTGCTTCGCGTTAAACGGATAGGCAATACAGCGCATCACAAAGACGTAAAGCTGGAGCCTCTTCTTTCTCTCCTCTTCCTCCCTTTGCATCTTTTCCAAATCATCCTTTTCCTTATCGATCGCAACTGAGGGGCTCGGGCTCGTTGGACGGGCATTGGTGCTTCGGCTTGGCTGCAACCCACCGGAGCTTTCGCTGGTCCTGCTTGGAGACACCCGAGGACCACCAGCCTTGGGCGCCGCCACCACTTTGCGCTCTTCTTCCACAACCTCCTCCGCCTCCTCCTCGCTGGATGATGGGTCCAACATTTCAACGTAAGTTCTTGCTTCCCTGAAATCAAAAGAGAGATATCAAGCGGCGTCTTTTTTTAGTAACGAAACCCCTCTGTAACTCGCTTTAGAGGACGAAAAAGTACGGAAGACGCTTCATTTTCCACAGTCTACAATCCAAACGCGACGGGAAAAGTGTCACTTACCCTCAGCGCGAGTGAAAAAGCTGCTCCAACAGCCAGTAGTCTTCCACCGAATTAAATTGTTGCTGCTTACGTGTTTTCTTCGTTTAACTCTCCGTTTACCATAACGGGGTTTAATGGAAGATAACACGGGGAGGGTCGTAAAACGATTCGCGGCTGCTGTTTTTCTGCTTTCCTCCGGCAGTCTTTCAATTTAGTAGCGAACGGTAGCCTACTGACAATATACTGACAATGAGAGCGGCGCGCGCTGAGAGCTGACCGTGGTTCTGAACTGAGGCGGGAGGGGGAGGGGGTCATTGACGTGATTTCCGCGACAGCCGCTATCGCTGTTTCTCTCGCGCACGAAATTCACCGCATGTAATTGACCGTTGACAGTTCCTAAAATTAGACAAAATCAACTTTGTGTTTGTTTTTCTACTATTATAGTACAGAAGTTTAGGAATTAATCGACGACTTCTTTTGGTTTTACTTAATCCAGCTGCGTGTGTGTGTGTGTGTGTGTGTGTGTGTGTGTTACTGGTTTTGAAAACAATGGTTAAATTATTCAACATTTTTTGTAATGAAAACAAGCTGTAACACCGTAAAATGTCATTGGGCTATAATAACATCGTTGTGTCCATCAATTTAACTTTAAATTAAACAGTAATTTGATTGTCTTATAGATTTATGTTATTATGTTTTGGGAGTCACTGGCTGTCCCAGTAGTCTATTGAACTTGAACACTTGTCTAAACATGACATGTCTCTGGTATTTGGCCCATGTTCTTCAAGACCGCAAGTGTGTGGAACTTTGTGTTGTAAAAATGAAAGTAAAGTCAGATTTTGATTTTCAACTTGCCATTTAAAATAACCTAAACTTCTAAACATCTGTTCAGTTGTCTATGTAAAAGATGACACAATCCGGTAAATCTGAAAAGCAGTTGGAAACATTTTACAAAATACATAGCATTCTCATGGCCACATGTGTGGGTCTCATGTGTGGGCTTATTACATTAAAACTAGTGAAAATGCAATGAACTTATTACTGCAGGTCATAACTTTGATTTTACTTCAGATTTTTTAAGTCCAAAATGAAAATAAAAATGTCAGTGTGTTTAGAATAGCATTTTTTTATTTAAGAATAGCGTAAATTAAAGTTAGAGGTTAACAAGTTACATAACAGTGTATTTTAAAGCTAGCTGCTAAATAAAGACTACAACTACCACAAAGATGTGTGTTTACATGCTTGATTATTTATTCAACCATTGTAGTCCTAGTGGCAACTTGTGTGCACCATAGTTTTTTAAACATACTTATATTACCAAATCCCAGCAGCTTAAAAGGAGCTATGTTGGAGATATGACTGTAATTTATTGTAGTAATGTTAACATACTTTATATTACTCAGTCACAAATTAAACCCATTTCCGAGCATTGGGTTGGCCTAAAAATTGACGTCATTCCTGAACTTTAGATGATTAAAATATTTATAATATTTGATTTGATCTAAGGTTCTGTATTGAATGTCAACAAATTATCTGAGTGACTCTCAGCTTAATTGCATCTTTTTGAATGTTAATCACTATTGTCTTTAAACTATTTCCAATAAAGGTGGGCTTGTTTTTAAATGCTTTTGTGATATGAAAAGAGATTAGATATGGCAGTTTTCCAGATGCAGATTAGCCAGTTCAATACTGCCAACAATTCATGTTGATTACATTAAAAAAAAAGTATTTTGATCATGACAAAAGCTGACCCTGTTGGTCACATTAGTCTTTGACCCTTCACATAACAGATACACAAATCCCACCTGGATCCATGTCGAAATCTCACCTAACAATATTATGTATACATAAAATGTAAACGTATTTTTTTAATTATTATTTAATAATGTATATTATTAATAACCTGCCCATGATGTGCCCAATTACAAAGTGCCAAACACCTCTCTAAAGGAAGACCAAGATAAAACATGCATATGCTATGTTGGTTTAAGCTTAGGTTTTGTTTTGTTTTTTCAGCAGCGATAGCAAAACTGAAAGTGCTACATTCAGTAATTAGCCTACCCTTTCCAAGAAAGCGAAACTTTGGCCTTTGAACGCAACAGGCAACAAAAGCTTTTCAAGTTTCAGAGAACAGGGGCGTTTTCCGCTTTCTGATGTTATGACCCCGCCCACTGTTACATCACCGAGCGCGAGCCAGCGTAGCTTTCATACGTCTAGTCTGACTCCGCCCCTTTTCCACCCCGTTGTGTCTGATACTGGACTATGCGACCTAATACGTGCGAGCCCTCACATATACAAGATTCCGAGGTGATCGTATTTCACTACATTTTCTCTCGGCCAACCCGAAAGGCATTGAAAAGAAGGTTATTGAGACCAGTGTCACACGGCTCGGACTACATACATACCGGAGCGAAATCAATTCGCTTTTACTTTGTCCTCGATGATGGCAGCACAGGATTTCAATTTTTTACTTGCGACGGACTCTTATAAGGTAAGAATCACCTGGCTTCAGTCGTTCAACAACAGAAACACAAAGGCGCATGACAGTACTTAGCCGATTCTGACAGTGGATCTTTGTGCTGCTGTAGCCGTCACATAACGTTATATGTGCGGTAAAAAACAACTTTGACCTTGTGAATCTATGAAGTTTAAATGAAAACATGGTTCAGATTAACCTACAGATGTGTAAAAATCGGGATTTTTCTTCTTGTTTTGTTGAAGGGTGTTGTGTTAGCTCAGGTTCGTTTTAAATGCCCCACTCATTGAATGCTGAGCGCAGGGGGCGTGGCTAATGCGCAATGACCTCGTGCTGCTTCAGCTTCGTCAAAGGCCACAGCGGGTGACGTCACGTCACGCAGCAGTCGAAGAATCGAAACTCATTTTTTAAAACATAGTTAAAAATGTAAACGCTATTTTTCTTGAAGTGTCTTATTATGTGGTATAAAACTGTTAGTTTACCCAAAGATGATCAAAATATTTGTTATAGTAAAAGTAGCCTGTCAAATCATGCTAGTTGATATCAAATATGGTATTTGTGTCTTTTTGTATCTGTTATGACATGTCTACATGATTCCTTATCTGGACCTTCCACGCATACTTACAACAAGGGACAAAGTGAAATTAAACATGGTCATGTGGCTATTAAACTGGTCATGAGGCTATTTACGACAGCCGGGCAAAAAGTTGACAAAAACAGTACACTCAGTCAGCACTTTCATTTATAGTTGTTAACTATAATTCATCAACAACGTTCAATAGGTCCTTCAAACTCAAAAGAAAATGTGTATGCATTTCATGTGGGATTAAATGGGTTAATGCATATTACTATGTGATTGGATTAGACTATGAGGTTTAGTTGTTTAGATTTTTTTTTCTCTTTTTAGATTATATGGTAACACTTTACAACACGATTTTATTGGTTAACATGAACTAACAAGGAAAAATACTTCTACAGCATTTATTATGTTAATCTCAACATTTACTAATATATTTTTAAGATCATATTATGTTGTATGTTAGAGTTAATGCACTATGAACAAACATGACATTTTTTATTAATATTGTCAAAGGTTAATAAATGCTGTACGGATATATTGCTAATTATTAGTTCATTTTAGTTAATGCATTAACTAATGTTAACAAATAAGACCTTATTGTAAAGTTTTACTGATCATATTTAAAGTTATATGAAAAGTAGTACTGTGAAATCTATACATGTTGTATTACATAATGCTGAAAGCATCTTGGGAGCTGATTATTAAATGTCCTTAGCCAGGTTTTAGTGGTCTTTACGGCAGTTTTAGATTTAGAAGTTTCACCTCTGTAATTCTCCAGCATCGCCAATGCTGAATGGCTAAGGCTGTGTAATCTTCTTTGTGCTTCACATTAGCCTTTAACCTTTCACTTGACAGCCAGCTACAAATCCCATCTGGATCCATGTTTAAATCTCACCCAACAATATTATGTATGTATTAATAAAATGTATATTTGTTTTTGATTTTACAGTTGCATAATTAATTGTTGAATGAGTTTGATACCCACCCATTTTCATGTCACGCACTCAACATTCCTCAAGTGGCGCAATCCATTCATCTGAACTTGATTAGTCAGTCAGGTTTGGGCTGATGTTCAGGTCCACTCAGAATTCCATGGAAAGCTGAGCAGATTTAGTTAGATGTGGAACACCCAGCACTCATACAATTAAAGTAATTGTACTTTTATACAGCAAGTGGGCATTAGATTACTCAAAAGTGACAGTTTATAATCTTATAAAATATTTTTATTTCAAATAAACGTTGAACTTCATCAATAGTTTATTCATCAAAGAATCCTGAAATAAATATATCACAGGTTCTATTAAAAAAAATGTAACTGTTTTCAACACTGGTAATAACAAGAAATGTTTCTCGTGCAGAAAATCAGCATATTAGATTAATTTCTGAAGGATCATGTCATGTGACACTGAAGAGTTATTATGCTGAAAATTCAGCTTTTCCATCACAGGAATATTTTAAACAGAAAACAGATATTTTAAATTGTAATAATATTTCACAATATTCCTCTTTTACTGTCTTTTTTAATCCAATAAATGCATCCTTGATTAGCATAAAAGATTTCTTTCAAAAACATTTTAAAAAAATCTTACCAACCCCAAGATTTTGAATGGTAGTGAATAATTAATGAGTATTGGTGATTTTGTGAGTGTGTAAACAATTCTAATCTTCAAAGCTCCTCTCTTCTTTTCAGATTACCCACTACAAGCAATACCCTCCCAATGTCAGTAAGGTGTACTCCTATTTTGAGTGTCGGCACAATAAGGGGGCGCAGTTCAGCGAGGTGGTGTTTTTTGGCCTCCAGTATCTCCTGAAGAAATACCTAGCAGGTAATTTCATCATTGCGTAAATCCTGCAGTGATCACAGCACTTTTGTTGGCTCACTTGGACATACTGTTTGTTTTGAGTTTGTTCATCTATTGGCACGAACAAAGTGTTTTTTTCACGTACCTGTTTGGGTAATGGAAAACTTGTCCCAAAAAACGGTAATGGCTCACATTCAAGGACAGTTATAAAGGAGTAGTCATGCAGTCAAAACAAGCTGCAAGAGTTTATAAATGTAAGGTTAAAAGGGATCATTTGCCCCACAATGAAAATTGTGAAGAAGAAAGAAAAAAAAAACACACACACACCCAATGAAACCCATAGGCTAGAAATATGCAAATTTGTTACATCGCTATGTAACAGGAAGTTAAACTGGAATTGCTGACGACTCGTTTTGGCAGTTCAGTATCGATTCTTACTTTTAGGAGACAATAACGTTTTTTGTCGTGCACTTTGATCTTTAAAACTTTGCAGACCTTTTACATTCACAAACAGCTCTATTACACACTGCATATTCGGGGAAAAAAATCATTTTATATTCAAAGTGTATTTTTTGGCCATTTTGACTCTTTTACCCATTTCATTTTTGATAGAAGTGGCCATGAACAGGCCAGCCATGTTAGAGTAAGTAAAAATAAGCAGATTACATTGTCATCAAATAAGCGTTAGAGTTACATAAGGCTAATTCCCCTTAAGCTTCCCATTTCAGTATTTCAAGCCAGAAAGTGTTTGTTTCATGGTGTGTGTTTCAAACTACAACCATGGACAGAACGTGTGAACAGCAGCGTTTTATTTTGTTTGTCTCCACTGATTTAATTTTTTTTTTTCAGGGACACACTATTTGTACACACTCTTTGTACAATGACTATTTCATTTAAATTATTCTGGTATTGCACTTTATTGCATTCTCCTTGGAAGAAGTCATGGCTCTTGTAAACTTTCAATTAACTATAGTACATAGAAAGTGCCTCTTGATAGCTATAGTGTTTTTATATTTCACTTTTTTTGCTTTACACTGATACTTAAAATGCAAAAGAATTCTATTTTTCATGTGTGCTCATCCTAGAATCTCTGAACTCATGTATTTGTCTAAATATCTTGCAGGTCCAGTTGTCACGGAGGAAAAGATTCAGGAGGCGAAACTCTTTTATCAGATGCACTTTAAACAGTCAGTGTTCGATGAAGAGGGATGGAGAAAAGTTTTAGAGGTACAAACAGAAGTTCATATAAAAGTCAAAGTTTCTTTTTAGATATTTCACCATTACATGACTTTGAAGTCTGCTTACTTTGTTCCGGAGATGAATGCACATGAAGATAACGACCACCTGCCTCCTTCCTGTTCCTAATTGTGTTGTCAGAAATATGATGGCCGCCTTCCAATCCGTATCAAAGCAGTTCCCGAGGGAAAGATCATTCCCAGAGGGAACGTTCTTTTCACTGTGGAGAACACGGATCCAGATTTCTTCTGGCTCACCAATTTTATTGAGGTATTACTTGCCTTCTTTCATCTTTATTTCTTTTTAAACCGTTTTTATATTATAAGGTAGCCAATACAGATAAGGTAAAGGCAAAAAGTATACAAGAAGTCATTCCCTATATATATATATATATATATATATATATATATATATATATATATATCAAAAATCTATACTTTTAAATCAATAATTTTATTCTGCAATAGTGACAGTAAAGACTTTTACATATAAAAATATATATATATATATATATTTCAAATAAATGATGTAGAATCCCTGAAGTTTTCACAAAAATATTAAGCAGGGAAAAAAATGTCATTGTTCAAACATTGATAATAAGAAATTTTTTATTGAAAGATCATGTGACACTGGAGTAATGGCTACTGAAAATTTGCTTTACCATTACAGGAATAAATGACATTCTAAAAATATATTATAATAGAAAAAAGTTATTTTAAACTGTAATATTTCACAATAATATACTGTTTTACTGTATTTTTGATCTAAGAAATGCTGCCTTGTTGAGCGTTAGACTTTTTTCCAAAAACATCTTTCTCTCTCTCAAAAACCTTTTAATTGGTAAAGTAATCTAAGGGCAAAAAAACGAACATTTAATCAGATTCCCTTAACAAAGGACACTTTCTTAAGGCTGTTAGTAAAGGATCCCCTCAAGGAAGTATCTTTGTCACATGATCCTTACATATTTTCATGTCTGTATGTTTTAGGCACTACACAAATTAAAATAAGTTTGAATTTAATACACAAAGAGGCCATATTTGATGCAAAAGATTGTTTTGCTACAACAATCTTAACTGCAACACAAATCCCCCATGAATGTCTCACTGTCAGCATAGTCCATCAACCTGTTGGTGTGGCACTTTACTTCATATTGGATGATTCTGCCATACTGTTGTTCAGGATGACAGCAGGGTTTGATTTCCAGCATGCTCCTAGCCGCTGATTCTGGACAGAATAACCGAGGGGGGTTTGGACAGGCTGGTGAGGTCAATGAGGGCATGAGTTCATTAGGTACTGACCTGGCCTGCAGACTCACGCAACTGCTGTTTCTATTATCATTATGAAGACACATATTGTTTGCTACCAGGTCTGAAGATGCATACAGTCCATGATGAACATTATTTTACATAGTTAATTTCCCTAATATGGAATTAAACCTATGAAGGTTGGATATTTATTCTTGCATTTGGCATATGCTTTTACCCAAACGGTTTAAACCCATCACTTTGGTGTTGAAAGCACCATGCTCTACTGTTTGAGGTACAGGAACACTGTAGGAGCGTCCGAAATCCTATACTGTCTAAGTAGTACTACATTTACATTTGAATTTGTGACCGTTGTAAAAGTATGTTCTATATAATATGAATATGGGTAGTATGAATGAAATTCTCTCGTACTACATCCGCCATGTTGCTACTGTCACGTGACCTACCAGCGTCAGCGTCATTCATAAATCCTCTCCCGTGGCCTCATGGGATAGTAAAGAGTTTACCTACAGTTCTTCAAATACTACTGTATGTATTTGGACATACTACTCTGTTGGCTTACTGTATGCTTATAGTAGGAGATATTAAGCAGAAAGTCTACTAATACTCTAATGATTGATAGTTGACATGTAGTACTACTTATAGTTACTTATAGCTAGTAAAATATCTAAAGTGGCCTAAGGAAGTAAAGTGATATCAATTTCTCTTTTACCTTTCTGCGCTTTTACTTAATATGCTCTTGAATATTGGCGTTGCGGTGTTGCTGTCCTTCAGTGATGTCCCTCATTTGTAAGTCACTTTAGATTAAACTGTCTGTGAAGTGAATTTGATGTACAGTAGACGTCCTTGAGCAAGGCACTTTATCCCAGGTTGCTTCCAGGTGGATTGTCCCTGTAATGAACTGTGTAAGTTGCTTTGGGTAAAAGAGCCTGATAAAATGTTTTACTTTTATTGAAGGTGTCAGGAAAGTCAAACCTGATTGGTACACCTAGATCTTGCCGGTTAGGCCGATTTTTCTTTACTTGAACAAGCCCTATTGGCATTCTGTCAGCTTTTCGATGAGTACAGTTTATGTATTGATGTCGAGACCAGAGAAAACGCATAGATCCAAACATAATCTTTGTCAGTTCCTGACATGCATGTCCTTAAGTAGCCACAGATCAATGAGTCGTGATTTAAATGGTCATGATGGTATCAGGGCCATAAACATTTCGAGTGCAATTACGAGCCATCTTTGGTCTTCTCTGACGCACATGTGATTGTGTGTACACTCTGTCCCTACAGACGATGCTGGTCCAAATGTGGTATCCCATCACCGTGGCAACAATCTCCAGGGAGTTCAAAAAGATTCTGGCCAAGCACCTGAAGGCCACGTCAGGGAGCCTGGAGGGTCTGGACCTCAAGCTGCATGATTTCGGCTACAGAGGGGTGTCTTCACAAGAGGTACGATAGACGTGGGTCAATAATTCCACTTCCTGTTCAGGACAGTGTTGTTAAGTTAGAGTTCTTTTCGCCGTTATTAGGAAAAAATGCAAGTGATCGGGCCTCCGCCGACCCCCAAAACACAATCTTTTATGTATTTATGACTATGAGTGACTATATAGAAAACTAAAAAAGGACTATCACCGATTACATGACATTATTTTGCTGTCTCTGTAGGCATTCACAGCACACTCTAAAGAAGACCCCTACAAAGCACTGAAGTATCTTTAAAGTCAAACAGGAAGTGCCTCCAGTGTTCAAATCTCGGCCTTTATTCTTTTTTTAGCCCTGAAATCAAAGCTCAAGCCGAATGGGGTCTTTCTCTCTTCAGTGCTTTTTAAGGAAGCCCGGTCTTCTGGGGCAAATGAAATCAGACATCACTCGGTGAAAGCAGAAAATCAATTCATTATGAGACAAGACCATTCCATTTAATCAAAAAGAGATCAGACCTGACCTTTCGATACACACACAATGCAGACCGCTCTCCTTTTCTGTGGATTTCAAAAGGTAGGAGCCCTGATTTTTGGCTGTGTTTGAGTGAGGTTGTCACGCTGATGGGTTTTGGGTCGTCGGGTGGTGCTGTTTGAAGAGTTGTGTGAGTAAAGATGACTGTTTGGCTCTTGAATCGGTCCGTCTGTTGTGTAAAGGTCAACTCTGCCAGGTTTCATCTATATCACACAGTGGCAGGTTCAGGTGTTGGGTGACTAGTGATAAGCGGTGAGTTTGTTAGTGAGACTGGCTGGGCGTGCTGAGTGTAGGAGACCTTTGTGTGTGACTGTGTATGAAGGTGAGACCACTAGATTCTAATGAGGTGTGACATAACCCCTCTGTGGTGCCCTTTCCATACCAGTATGCCATCATCTAAAACTGGAGATGGTGACCGATTAGAAAAGGTGCATTTTCCATTCAAATTGAAAATATGATTAAAGGTTTAGGTCATATCACAGGCTGGATTTTTACATTTTATCTTATTAATGAATTTAAACCAATTCTTTATTCAAGGCACAAATAAAGTGATGCTCAGGGGCATAACTATACCTTGCTAGATTCAAACTTGTTCATGACACTGGCTCTTAATATATATTCACTGACATACAGTTGTCATTTACCTTTGTTAAAAAATAATCAAGGTTTCTCTGGGATTTGAACTTGCAACCTTTGTAGCCCAATAGCAAATATAATTTATTTAATTTTGGGGGTTTTTACTTTAGAAAAATAATCAAGGCTTTTCAGGGATTTGAACTGTCATCCTTCGTAACCACATAGCAATTATAATAACACCACTGTAATTAAAATATTTTATTTTATTTTATTAAATATTTTTATTTTTATTTTGTGGTTTAACATTAACTTGCAACCTGTGTAACCCCATAGCGAATTTAATACCACTGTACTGAAAAGATTTTAATTAAAACAATTATTTGATTTATTACTTCATTTTATGATTTAATATATTTTTTTTAAACTTTGTTAAAAAATAATCAAGGTTTCTCAGAGATTTGAAATTGCAGCCTTTGTTGCCCCAGAAAATATAATACTGTATTTAAAACGTTTTATTTGATTTGATTTGATAATTTTTTTTATTTTTTTTTTCATTTTATGAATAAATTTAACTGATTAACTTTGCTAAAAAAATATATTTTTATTTTATGGATTAATTAAATTATTTAACTTTGTTAAAAAAAAAATCAAGGTTTCTCAGTCAGAGATTTGAACTTCTAACATTTGAAACCCCATACAAATATAATACCACTGTACTGAAAATGTTTTATTTGATTTGATTTGATTAAAAAAAATCATTTTATTAATTAATTTAACTGTTTAACTTTGCTAAAAAAAAATCAAGGTTTCACAGAGATTTTAACTTGCAACCTTTGTAATCCCATAGCAAATATAACACAACTGCACTAAAAAGCTTTTTTTTTTTAATTTTATTTTCATTTTAATTCATTTTTGATGGTTAATTTGTTTCTGTTTTTTTTTTTTTTTTTTTTTTTTCACTCTCCCTACCAAACCTTGTCATTTATGTTGAGCCACACTAGTAATGATCAGTAGTGAATTTCATGTGTTGGGTAACGACTGTCCAATGAAAAAACGGACATCTGGTCAATGGTGTTATATCTGGGTTTATGGAATATTTCTCATTTAACTGTCAGTGTAATATTGCTATTGTGTGTGTTTAAGCCTATTTGATCACTGGCGATTATGTGAAATATGACGTTTCCATGTCACGCTCATGCATTGCAAGGCTTTGTAGGGAAAGTAAGTGTAAAAACGATTTCAAGAAAGATTTAAGGAACAGGATGAAGGGAAAAACATCAGTGTGGAATCTAAGAAAGCCTGAAGCGTTTCTCCCTCAGCTGCTGAAAACAGACTAAAGCATGCTGTGTAAAACTATCAAGTCTTCATTAGGGACAGTGGGGTATTGAAAGTGTATTTTCTAGGTTGTGGCTGACTGGATTAATGATGGCTTCAAGAGGAGATTAATGATGCCAAACAGAGTTTAATGCCTCTGATACTCAGGGTTCCTGCTCACTCTCCATCACTCTTTTCTGATCAGGGGACAAGCAGTGATAGATTTGAATGCTTTTAAAGTAGTAGTTCACCCACAGTGAAAGATCTGTCCTCATTTACTCACCCTCAAATCCTTCTAAACCCACATGACTTTCATTCTTATGGGGAAAAAAACAAAGGGAAGTTTAGCAGAATGTTCTAGTATTAGTATCAGTGTTGTTATTGTTAACTAAAACTAAATATATTACATGAAAAACTATCATTTAAAAAAACTTCAGTGAGAAATGTTGCCCTGGGTTTGTTGAAGTACTAAAATTACTACAGATAAAACTGATATAAAAAGATATGAAAGCTAAATAGAATATTTAAATGACAACAAAATTGCTCAAACTTAAACTGATACGAAAAATTATTATTTTTAATTAAAATATTAATACTATACAAATAATGCTGGCATATACTGTGATTCGTCATTGATCTATCATATTGCACGGGGCTCTTGACAAATTGACAAAAAATACATGACACAATACGTGAAAATGCATTGAGAATGACGCAGTCCCTAAATCCTTGCTACAATCAAAGCTGCAGGCTAAAGCCTTGCTGCGGATCTAATTTCCCTGGGTTAATCAAGTTCAGATCTCATCAGTTCTTAAATGAAAAAAAAAAAATAGTCTCCTCAAATTCCAATATAAATATACACCGTGTTGTAGAGCAAGAAATATTGATGCTCACCTCAGGAGGCTAAAAACATTTTGCTTGGAATCAAATGTGTTCACTTTTCAGAGCAACAACCTTCCCTTGACTATCACGATGAATGAAGTGAGACGCTGTCAGTAACCCGAGTGTTAAATCAGGGGAATATAGGAAATGTCTTCACACAATTGACTTCAAAGGTCAACATCTCTCTTATTATTTGCTTCTTAAAAGCCACTGTCTATAATTCCGTTACAAAAACAGTATCAAAATAATGTTGTCACAACATTGATATTTTGGATTTTCATTTTGGATTGGATTGGAGACAGTGATTTCGGAGGCTATGAGTTTGGCATTAAACAGGTTCAATGACTTCTTTCTGTTGTGTTCTTTCACTCTTTACTGAACTAGTCGGCAGCACTTGGTGGAGCTGCTCATCTGGTGAACTTCTGCAGCACAGACACAGTTGCGGGTCTGCTGATGGCACAACGATACTATGCATGTCCTATGGCCGGATTCTCCATCCCTGCTGCAGAGCACAGGTAATGCACATTATGAACTTACTGGACAGTTATTTTGTCAAGGCATCTCCGAATTTGTTTGTGTTACATCCTGCCTAAAACCTGAGAAGCTGAAAGAAGTCAACTTTATGACACTTTATTAAACTTTATAACTTTATAACACGATTCAATTTCTACTAAGACATAAGCATTGAAGTCATTATAAAGCTTAAATAAAATCATATATAAATAATCAAATTAAAATTGCTAGAACTAAAACTGAAATAAAAAAAATAAAGCTATATAGTAATATAAAATGACAAAAAAATGACAAAAGCACAGAACAAATATTTAAACGAAATCTGAAAATATAAAAAATATTCAAAATCGTAATAAATACTACAATAGTATTAATAAAACTAAAATAACACTGGTTCAAGATTGTTTTTACATATTTTAATTAATGTAGCCCGTCTAAAGCCAGTTTTAATTTAATTCATTAAAAGGAAAATTATCTTTATTAAAAAATCTGTTTAAAATAATTTACACTTTTACTTCCCCTTATATTAGTCCAAACTCGTATTACTTTCTTTCGTCCCTGATAAACACAAGGAAAACATTTTTTAACCCTCAAACAGTCCTCGGTCATTTCTGACCGAATAATTTTCTGTTTTAAATTTCTAAAAATCACAGCTTCATCGGAATGTTATGAAACTTGGTGACTTTTATGGCATTAGTTATGTAAATACAAAAATAAATTGAGGTCATGATCCGAGCATGCTAAGTGGTCATAAAAAAAATAGTAACGATTTTGGTCTTCTGTCAAAATGACCGACCTATAGGAAATGAATGGGAAATTTACAAAAACACAAAAATTCTCTGAATTTTTGTCTGTACAATCTACAAATCGGCCACGATTCTAAAAAAAAGTACACCGCAGTAAAGGGGTGACACTCTATAACATCAAGAGTGCAAAAAATTCACACCCACCCACACACACACACACATACAAACACACTTTTATACACATACACACCAATAAATTCAGATTACAAAAAATCTGTTTGAATTTTTAAAAATCACAGCTTCATCGGAATGTTACGAAACTTGGTGACTTTTCTGGCATTATGTATGTGAACACAAAAAAATTGAGTTCATGATCCGAGCATGCTAAGTGGTCATAAAAAAAATAGTAACGATTTTGGTCTTCGGTCAAAATGACCGACCCATAGGAAATGAATGGGAAATTTACAAAAACACAAAAATTCTCTGAATTTTTGTCTGTACAATCTACAAATCGGCCACGATTCTAAAAAAAAGTACACCGCAGTAAAGGGGTGACACTCTATAACATCAAGAGTGCAAAAAATTCACACCCACCCACACACACACACACATACAAACACACTTTTATACACAAACACACCAATAAATTCAGATTACAAAAAATCTGTTTGAATTTTTAAAAATCACAGCTTCATCGGAATGTTACGAAACTTGGTGACTTTTCTGGCATTATGTATGTGAACACAAAAAAATTGAGTTCATGATCCGAGCATGCTAAGTGGTCGTAAAAAAATTAGTCACGATTTTGGTCTTCGGTCAAAAATGACCCCCATAGGAAATGAATGGGAAATTGACAAACACACAAAAATTATCTACAAATCGGCCACGATGCAAAAAAAAAAGTGCTCAGCAATGAAGGGGTGAAACTCTAAAACATCAAGAGTGAAAAACATAACATAATTAATAATTATAATTAATATATATATATAATTAATATAATAATTATTAAAATTATTAAAATAATAATTAATAAAATGTTATAAACCTTGGCAAAAAGTATTATTTGAGAATTTCTAAAAAAAATACATTCAATCCACATCTTAAAAGTAAGTAATTTGGTCCAAAAACAACTAGAATTCACAAGCATCTCCATTTAGAGCTGTATAGGCATCTAGTGGTAAACCCATGCAATTACATGATTTTATTTAATTTTATGTTTAATAAATTGATTTTTTTTTTTTTTCTGAAAGCCTAGTCTCTATTTTAACCGCAAATACTGCATAAAAGAAAAATAAATAATAAATAAAATAAAAAAATTAATTATTTTCAATGGCAAAAAATTGACCATAAATATTAATAAGTTCAATCAAATTGTCTCAAAATACTAAATTAAAAAGAATAAATATTATAGAACAAAAATAAATTGCATTGGTTTTACTGGGATGGAGGAAGTTTTATTTTTAGGTGTCCGGTCACTTCTGACCGGGAAGGCCCAGGATGTGACTCCGAAACTAAGACCGTCTGAGGGTTAAGAATGTACTGGTTGCTTTTCTCTTTGCTTTGTAAGGAAAACTGGGTTTGTCTAACATTTTCTAACCTTCCCCCTTTGTAGATGCATGTTTCTTTTACTAAACGCTGACAAAAACTTTACAGTTACCCAGAATATAAGATGGTAAATATTTAAAGGGATAGTTCACCCCAAAATTAAAATTCTGTCATTAATTACTCCACACCCATAAGAATTTCGTTCATCTTCAGAACACAAATGAAGATGTTTTTGATGAAATCTGAGAGCTTTGTCTACTCTCTGTTGACGCTACGCAACTACCACTTTGACGCTTCAAAAAGTTCATAAAGAGATCCTAAAACTAATCCATATGAAATGAGTGGTTTAGTCCCAATTTTCTGAAGAGACACGATCAATTATATGAACAGGCTTTTGTTCACATATAAACATTCATCAACTCACACATCGGTTATGGTTAACAGAAACTCAAGCATGTTCACTTGACATGCAAGAACCAGCACGTTTGAGGTTTGTTTTCGCTCATCAAACAAGTTCGGTTGTTCGCTGACCAATGCTTTGAAAGGGCAGATGTCAAGATAAGTAAGCAACTTAAGTTTTGGTCTGTTTATCACTTGACTTCAAAAGACAAAAGATATAGCTAACAAGCTGTATGGACCACTTTCATGATACTCTTTGAAGTTTTGAATCCATCCATATTCATTGTGATTACATTTTTGACCAGTCTTTAGAATTGTGTTCCACAGGAGAAAGAAAATGAAATGTTTACTACAGAATTTTTTGCCTGATCTATCCCTTTAAGACTGACTGGGAGCGAGTTAGACAGTTACACAGCTGCCTTCGGTTGTAAACGGCCAATGTCTTGAAATTCAACTCTGAAGTTCAACACCTGCGTGTTAATTTGCATTTGTTCCGTTGATTCTAATTTGTTCTATTAGTAGCTACGCATTCATCCATCTCACAGCTGTAGGGCCTTTTGTCTCTGATGTTGATTTCTCAGTAGAGCTCTCACTCTTTCTTTCAAACCACACGACTTCTTCTGTGACGTCGTTCCAAGTTCACATTTAAGTTTTGCAAGTTGCAACCATCACAACATTCCGTCTATCAGTCAACCGGAAGATTCCGTGAATCGCTCAGGGATTTTTATAGCTCTGTGGCTAAGGATCATTAGACTCGAATGACTCATAAGCTGCAAATGATTCTATCTAATTCTTTGTCTGGTAAAAGTAAAACCCGTTTATTTTAGTCGTACCCTTTTGCTTACCTTCAAACTAAATAAAGCACTTCGTTTATAAGCGTTTCAAATCATTTGACGAAGGTTTGTCTCACTTTGTTTTTCCTGTCTCTGTAGTACCATCATCTCCTGGGGCAGGAGCCGAGAAAAGGACGCATATGAGTGTCTGCTGGACCACTTTCCCTCTGGGCCTGTAGCTGTGGTTAGCGACAGTTATGACATTTTTAAGGCTTGTAAGCATATCTGGGGGGACAAGCTGAAAGAGAGAGTGATGGAGAGGAGTGAGGATTCTCCCCTTATTATTCGCCCAGACTCCGGGGACCCCGCTGAAACCCTCATCGAGGTGTGTGTGTGTATCATGTACCAAGTGTGTTAGAACTGTAGGAGTGTTCGCTACAGACCATAAGGCAGCTGTTTCAGTGATTGAGCTTTATTTTAGTGAAGTAACGACTCAAACAAATAGCTTTGCTTGAAGCTTTTTCTAGCACTGCGCTGCATTGTGACTGATGGGACTCTTAAATTCTAAGTTTAAATTGAGTAGCTGCATCCTTGAATTCTTACTTTCTTCCATTCTAATTTTTCTCTTCTGTCTCACTTTTAGGTGATAAAGATTTTGGAGAAGTGTTTTGGATGTTCTCTGAACTCAGTGGGTTACAAGGTGCTCCCATCATACTTGCGCATTATCCAGGGGGATGGAATTGATCTGAACTCGATTAATGAGGTAAACTAAACCTCAGACCAAGAGGGAAATTACTATGCACTACCATTCAAAAGTTTGGAGTCAGTAAGATTTTTTTTTTTTTAATGCTTTTATTCAGCGAGGATGCATTAAATTGCTCAAAAGTGACAGTAAAGACATTTTATAAATGTTACAAATGATTTCTATTTAAAATAAATGCTTTTAAACTTTCTATTTATGAACCAAATCAGCATATTAGAATGATTTCTGAAGGATCATAAATATATTATAGAAGGATAAAATATATTAACATAGAAAAGAGTTATTGCAAATTGTACAAATATGTCATAGTGTAACTGTATTTACTGTATTTGACTGTATTCATTTTAAATGAATGCAGTCTTGATGAGCATTAGAGATTCTTTCAAAAACACCAACCCCAAACTTTTGAATGGTAGTTTATGTACCACAATATTTGGTCTGGTGTGATTTACAGTGAGGTCCAAAACTCTGAAATCTAGAAGTCCCTAATGAAATAATCAAATTTGTTATATTGATCATGTGAGCGAGCGCCTTCATACAGATGGTAAGATATTCTTACTTTCATTGAAGCACAAGATGCTCATTTGATCCTTCTCAAAGAGAAATGCAATTTTGGACCTCATTCTAGATGTGCTCTTAGCCTCTTACGACTAGAAAGCTGTAACACATTGGTTCCCAAACTTTTTAGAGTGGCGTACCCCTTGAGGCTTTTAACACCCTTCTGCATACCCCCTCTCTTCCACTTAGACTGCAGTCACATCTTTTCCATTAAGGGGCAATATTTGCCACCTTAAATTGATTATCCAGTGAAATTTTTACCTTTATAAATAGCTTAATAAAATAAATAATATTTTAAATAAAAAAAGGTTCAATAGAGAAAAATGAAATAATGGTTAAAACGAAGTGATGCTTATAAATATTAAACTAAAACTGCCAGTAGGTGGCGGTAAGTCACTGTCTTAATGAGTGAGTCATCGAGTCATTCATTCATTCAGTAACGAAGCAAGTGGCTGTATTTATGAATGAGTCAATGAATCATTGACTCTCATGATTCGTTCAAAGCTGCAGATTCGTTTACGAAACACTGCTATGTTGCAGTTTAGCTGTGGCTATCGTTAGAGCTGTTATTTTGTTGCGGTCTTGAGACTTCCACAGATATGTACATGTTTTAATATTTAGATCACTTCTATTATTGTTTGATATCAGGATGTGAAGAGAGTTTAAATCAGTATAACAAAAAATGTGTATAAAACAAATTGCCTACCCTACCTTTAGGTGTGTGGAATAGTGTGTCCAGGGGAAAATGTGATACTGACCCTGAATGTTTATTAACCATTTATGACTGTTAGATTATAAACATTATTACTGATTACACAGTGGTAAATCAGTGATCATTCTCTGATCAGAATTACTGTTTATTTTGGCTAGTGCAGATTCTGGAGAAACTGACCGATGAGGGCTGGAGTGCTGAAAATGTGTTTTTCGGTTGCGGAAGTGCTCTAGTGCAGAAAATCAACAGAGACACACTTAACTGCGCTTTCAAGTGCAGCTATGTGGAGGCCAATGGCAAAGGCGTGAGTTGTTGTTGTTTTTTTACATTCAAAACATCCTGTCAGGAAATAAATTTAAGTTTTAGTGTTTTTTTATTATCATGTCATTTGTGTTCGCGTAGATGGACGTCTATAAGCAGCCAGTGACGGACCCATCTAAAGGATCCAAGCGTGGACGTCTCTGTCTGAGGAGAAACTCAGATGGCTTCATTGAGACGGTGGAAAGAGGAGCGGGCAAACCAGAGGAGGTTAGATCAGCTGTATACACTGTAAAAAGGGGCAACGTCCAATTGTTACCTAAAAGAGCTATTTCTACTTGATTTAACCAAAGACTGTAAAAAAAAAAATGGACGTAGTGTCCGTGACGTCACCCGTAGGTTTCTGAAGAGCATTTTTGAAGCCCAAAGTGGGCGGAGCCGGTCGTCGCCATCTTGGTAGCGCGTCACTCCCACATAACCGAAAATGGTTAAAGAGACGGGATTAGCTGAAACGACGTGACGGCTAACAGACATCAGAGAAACGGCTAGTAGTGACAGCAGCGGCAATCCACCTGTCACTCAAGTGGCCACGCCCTTTATTATGCAGAACTTTAAGGCTTAATATAATTTAAACGGATGAGTTATAAAAAAAAAAATCACCACCCTCACAGTTGTCATGAAGGGCAAAATTAGCTATATAGAACAAAACCACTTTTTGTACCAGGCTGTAAACATATTTTTCTGCTGTAAAGTTGGGCATATTAACATGGGGGGGGGTCTATGAGTTTGACTCTCTTTTGGAGCCTGTCTCTAGCCATGTTTCCATCCACTTGTCAATCGAATTATCTGAAGTTCGGTAAAAAAACTCATGCGAATAAAGCTGGTGAAAGTGTGTTTCCATCCAACGGCTTTAAAGAGGATAAAAACCTGTGCGTAATGACGTCACATGCTGTTTTGCGATCAAATTGGTATATCGAATTGATTTGAGACATGTTAAGGTGTTTCCATTCATTTTCTCACCGAATTGCACAACATTCAAGCCAACATTTGCGAACAAAGTTTTACTAGGCAAAATGGATCGCGCCATAATAACGTTTCCATCCACGTTTATCGCATAAGCCATATATATATCAAGATAAAATCCGATGAGACCGATCGTATTTCATTTGAGTCGATATTCATGAAATTCAATCGAATTTTACTGTTTCCATAAGGCATTTTTCATTCGATATCACTTAATGCGGATAAAAACGTGTGGATGGAAACATACTAGCTTCTACCAGTCGATGAATTGCAGTTTAAGTCACTTCCGTGTTGGATTCAAGAGAGAGACCGGAAGTTTGCCACTTGGATTTAACCCAAATAAAATACTTTTGTAGGTATAAACTAATGCATTTAAGTTGATCCAGTGATGTTAAATAATATTTAGACTTGAATAAAACTAGTTCATTTAAATGTTACTATTGTTTTCAGTGTACCTGCTCTTTGCAACATCTGGCTTTTAACCCATTAATTACCTGATGTTAGAGAAAAATATTTTTTCATATGAACATACTGTCCCAGGGACATGGTGAAGAAGAAAAAAAAAATGATCTGGCAATGTGAGCGAATGCAAAGTTTCTCGGGGGAATGCAAAACATTTGAGAGAACCCAAAATCATTGCCAAATAATTTTTCCTCCCATCTTATTTTATTTTATTTTTTTCACCATGTCCCTTTAGGCCGGGGCTCAGTAATTTTTTGCATTTCTAAACATAATTATGATGATTTAAATATGGTTACTTTGAAAATTGCTTTTACTTCTATGAACAGGCTGAATTTATTTGATCAAAAATACAGTACTGTGAAATATTACAATTCAAAATAATTGTTGTCCAATTAAATATGTTTTTTTTTATTTGATTAATTACTGTGATGGCATTACTTACTATTTTCAGCATTACTCCAGTATTCAGGGTCACATGATCCTTCAGAAATCATTCTAATATGCTGATTTGCTGCTCAAGAAACATTTAACATTATCCAAACAGTTTAAAAAAAATTTGTGGAAACCATAATTTTAGTTTAGGATTTATTTTAATTAGAAATTTCAAAAGAACAGAATACATTTGAAATAAAAATTGTAACCGAATACATGTATATACACGCCTTTATACTGACCCACAACTTTTGAATGGTTGTGAATGTGAAATTATAAATGCAAACATTTCTAAGGAAGTTAATGCAGATGAATTTCATATATGGTGATATTCCCCTAATTTAGTGATCCTTATTCATATATGGTCTTCTTTTGTAGGACATGTTGGTGACAGTGTTTGAAAACGGGACCATCCTGCAGGAGTACACTCTGGATGAGATCCGTAAAGCTGCTCAGCTTTGGGAGGATGACGTGAGCCCTTCCCAGCACAACAAAGAGGATGGCACTACTCTGGACATCCACCAGAAGCACATAATGAATGGCGTGCATTAATAAACACAGAATGCACACTGTTCTCAACACTGCCGCTCACAGACCAACCACTGACCTATTCCATCAACACACGAGTTTAGCAGAACACAGTGCTGCCAATACACTATACAATTACATATCACATCTGACTTTTGAGGCAACCCTTAAGGTTTGGATTTGTGGGACACATTTTTTTTATTATTAGTTCCTCCTTTATTTTCACCACACTTAGAGATGCCAAATGTCTTTGGTGCTTTAGCATGAATATGTTTTAGCAGTATACTGACGGCAGGGTTTGCGTAATGTTGTTAAAGCATCGCCTGGGAGTATATTGATAAATGAAGGAAACTTCATTTGAGGTTATCTAATGATCGCATCTGGGCTTCTGTACCAGCACATGATTCTGGTTTCTGACGGGACGTACACTGAAAATGCTCAAATTCTATTTAAAAATCAATCAATCTGTTTAGCTTTTGAAGGATTTTGGGTGTTCTTTCAATCATTTTTGAAGATGCCCATAATGCCATGATAGCAAAGAAGCATTTTTTACTTTACAAAAATAGTTTTTAAGCTATTCAACATATAGTTGTGTTCAACATATAGATACAGACTTGAAGATTGGCCACCAGCTTTATGTCTTCTTGCTGTTACATAACTCCCTTAAAGTTGCTTCCTGACATTTCATAATAATATTTTTTTGTTTGTAGAAATGGAGAAGTGTCTTCTCTGGAGTTTGATAGGATGGTAAATTGATTCTGATGTTATGATTACACTATTAATGGAGTAAATGCTGCATACAAGAATCGAACGTTTTCCTGATAATAATTTTAATGTGATTTATGTGGAGTTGGTTTTAGACTTCCATCTGAGATGCACGGAATACATCATACGAACACTTCAAAAGTGCTCTGTCTCCATACAGCTGCTGATGGTGCCTTAAAAACCACTCGGACCTCAATGCCAGTCACTCATTCTTGCTTCGTCTTTTCCTCCCATCATTTTTCCCACTTTAAAGGGATAGTTCACCCAAAAATGAAATTTATGTCATCATTTACTCACTCGCATGTTTGTTCCAAAACCTGTATCAATTTCTGTCTTCTACTGAACACAAAATAAGATATTTTGAAGAGTGTCAGTAAACAAACAGTTGATGGACCTCTTTGACTTCCATAGCATTTTTTTTTTTCATACTATGGAAGCCAACTATGGGGACCATCAACCATTCGGTTAACCACTTACTTCAAAATATCATATTTTTGTGTTCAGCAGAAGAAAGAAATTCATACAACTTGAGTGAGTAAATGATGACAGAATTTTTGGGTGAACCTATCCCTTTAATATTGTTCATCACGCTCATCCTTCCCTATGCACTCATGTGACTCACATAAGAATGATGTTCAGTGATTGCTTTTTCTTTTTTCTGTTGCCTTATGTTTTTTGCTGTCAAGCTTTTGTCACTTTTGACATCTGTATGCTGATCCTGAATGAGATGTGCAGTGGGTTAAATAACGGTGTGTACATTGATTATTGTCATCATCTTGGTGTTTGATCATGGAAAGCAGTTGACCCTACCTCTTTTTTTTAACCAATAAGACTGTATGTTAATATGACGTGATGATCATTACACTTAAATAGCATCTATTCTGTTGTGTAAATACTCTTTAATGGTAGTTTGAATGATACATTTTGCCTTGAAGTTTTAGCGTTCCTGTTGCATTTTTGTTTATTTTACAAAAGTGATATTTTGAATGACAAAAAGTTAAAATATAATAATAAATATAGATTGAACTTCTTCATCTTAAAATTTAACATGTCTCATCCTTTCTTGTTAGGGTGTGCTTTTGAAAAAGTAAAATGGTTTTGTGGTTGAAAAAACATGGTTTTGTAAATGAAAAAAAAAAAAAATGGAAACAGAACTAACAAAAGCGCTGTTGGCCATGTTGGTGCCAGTATGCCTGGATTCTGTCCCAGTTTTTAATTGGATAAAAACAGTGCTCCCTTTTGGACAGCCATCTTCCTTCATTGCTGTCATAGCAGAAAAGGAATGGAATGCCAAAGGAAGAAATGTGACTTCCAGAATGATAACAGTTATGGGTTGATTTGCTCCTCTGTGTTGTGCAAAACTAAATAGAAAGGCCCATATTTACAAATTCCAGATAATTTTGACAAGTTTTATATTTATCAGAAGATGGATTTGTTTAGCCGTGTCATGTTATATTGTTGCACAATTATATTGTATTCACATGAAATGTACTTTTTAAGCACATTCTAGTTGGAATCCCGAAGCTGCTGCTGTCATTACAATGCATTGATGAGTTTTTAGTTTGTCTGTTAAGCAGGACATCAGAGTCATAGTTCGAGTTTAGATGAGTTTAGGTGAGTTTGTTCATTTAACTTTGTGCAGCATATTTGTATAATGCAATTTTGTCCACAGACCGAAATAGTCACATTCATTCTATTTAGACAAGGTTTGAATTGTGTAAGTGAATAAGTGTATGTACAAGACATCATTAGACACACACAAAAAAAAAAGATTTCAAATAATAACTATTCTAGAATTTTGCATTACCGATAAAAGATTTTGGTCAGTGAGATTTTTTTTTTTTTTTTTATGTTTTTGAAAGAAGTATCTGATGATCAGTAACAAAATTAATATTGTGAAATATTACAATTTAAAATAACTCTTTTCTTTCTTTAATATATTTAAAATGTAATTTATTCTTGTGATGCCAAAGCTGAAATTTCAGCAGCCATTAAATACAAAAATGCAGATTTAGTGCTTAAGAAACATTTATTATTATTATCATTAGCACTGAAACCAGCTCCTTAATATTTTTGTGAAAACCATGATACAAGAGCATTTATTTGAAACAAATCTTATGTAACATTATAAATGTCTTTACTGTCACTTTTGATCAATTTAATGCATCCTTGTTGAATAAAAGTATCAATTTTACAGTATGTTTAAGAAACCTATAATTCTATGGTGTTTAATTGTAATAATCCATCTGATCCAAATCATTTGCATAAAAAGAAACAATTCTTTATGAAAGCTGGGGATGTTTTTGTTCATATTTTATAGACTATAAATAGCCTACAGTAATGAAAGGGAGCCATCTATTGATCATTTCGAAGAGTGCACTTCTAGAAGGACCAACTTTATACATCAGTAAGTCTAAAGTTACAATCACACACACCACAATAAAATCAGAAACTTGCATACACCATATATATATATCCGTTATTCTCACATTAAACTAAATTGTCTTCTATAGACAATCACGGTGTAAAAAAATATGATCAATAAATTATGACATGTTTTCGCAATGCTTTAACTCATCAAAATACGTTTTTTATTTTCCGTCACTTTTTAAAATAAATTATAGAAGATTAAAGTCAGTGTGATTTAAGTTGAAATTACTTAAACGACCAAGTTGATTAGGCCTACTTAAAAATGTAAGGCAGCAACTCTTTTTTTCCCCCTCAGTGTAAGTATAATCTCAAATAAATGTCTTTTGTAATTTGTTGTTATAATAATGGCTTTTTTATGTTAACATGCCAATCAGTACACCTCACCTGGCATGTGGCCTCATAATTCACCATTAATTCAGTTATGCTACTCACTGAATCTAGAAAATGCAAGCTATGCTTACAAAAGCTGCTGGTGCCTGCTTGCGTAGGTAATAAAACAAAGCTTACTTTTGTCATCTAATGCATGTCAGACATATTTTACCTCAGCATTGTAGATCATAGAGCAAATGCCTTGTAGGAAAGCATATTCAGAGCAAGTATCTGTTAATTGGCTAACGCTGTCACTACTGATAGGCCGCTCTGCTCTCATTGGATTAGTTGCTAAGCAACCTATTTGCTAAACGTGTTGTCATGGATTCAAATGTTCCGGACGCCCTCCGAAACGGTCTGCTGACCACTGATAACAGGGTGAAGGTATTGTAACACTCCAGCTCGTGGTGCCCGATGATGATTGTCTGTGTCGCACCTGTCTGATATTTGCAATTGTTCAAATATCATCTGCGAGCGCGTGCCCGTCTCTCGTGATGCCGCATCATGATAGACAGCACGCATTGTGTAGACACGCACATGAACAACAGTCAGCTGCATTTGGTCATTTTTTTACGACTTCTGTTAACAAAGAAGAGCCAATCGTAGCGGCAGCTACATTAATTGTGCCTGTGCGTCTGCTCATTATATTTGGTTTCTCTCATTTGTGCCCATTTCACCCCCGAATGCAAATTTTAATCCTGATTATTTCCGCCAGATTAGTGGTGCAGCAGAATAAGAGGAGGGATAATGCATTTACACCGAACAATTCCAGAATCTCACGTTTTGTCTTTTATAGGCCCACTTCCTTTGTGTTTTGGTATGAGCATGGTGATTGGTTTAGCAGCCTGGTGTAAAAATCTAATATTAAAGGTTTGCACCATCTCCTATAGCCTATATAGATGGTTGTCAAAAATATCTGAAATTCAAAAGAGGAAGTGCTCATTCAGAAACAGCCGGAAGGTTCAATACTGCAGCTCTACACCAAAGGTTCATTCAGTCCTATAAAATGCTCCATCTCAGTTCTCCAAAAAAAAAAATACAATAATTTGCAGACTTTTTGATTTTTTTTAATGTTTTTTTATAACATAGTAGCTAGTCATAAATTCTTATTCAACACTAAATGAACAGCAAATGGAAAAGCAAAGGCGGGCAAATAGGATACAAAAGAAAGAAAGGTCAAATGTACAAGTAAAAGAGAGTAAATATACAAAAGAAAGAAAGATCAAATGTACAAGCAGAAGAGGGCAAATATGCAGTAAAAGAAAAAAAGAAAGGCATACAGACAGAAAGAACGAGTAAAAGAAAGAAATAATGTACAAGCAAAAAGGGCAAATAAAGAAAGAAAGAAAATAAGAAAAGCATAGACAGAAATGGAGAAGGAAGGAAAGAAAGAAATATCAAATGTACAAGCAAAAGAGGGCGCAAAAAAGAAAAATCAAATGTACAAGCAAAAGAACTGTGAAAGAAAGAAAGGAAGATCAAATGTATACAAGCAAAAAAAGCCAAATATGCAAAAGAACAGTGAAAGAAAGAAAGATCAAATGTACAACCAAAAGAGGGCAAATATGCAAAAGAACAATGAAAGAAAGAAAGAAAGAAAGAAAGAAAGAAAGAAAGAAAGAAAGAAAGAAAGAAAGAAAGAAAGAAAGAAAGAAAGAAAGAAAGAAAGAAAGAAAGAAAGAAAGAAAGAAAGAAAGGTCTCTCCCCCCAAAAAGTCTCTCAATTGTGACTAAAAAAGTGGCTGCTGTATCTAGAATTTCTTTTTGGTTTAATAACTGTTCTGTAAATTAATAAAGATTTTGTGAAAATACTTTTATTGGGACTTTGTTATAAGTATATTACTGTGTTATGCTTTGGAACAAGTGTAATTGTTACAATTGGAACACAGTATAGTGGCCATCTCAGTTCTCCAAAAAAAAATATACAATAATTTGCAGACTTTTAGATTTTTTTTAATGTTTTTTTATAACATAGTAGCTAGTCATAAATTCTTATTCAACACTAAATGAACAGCAAATGGAAAAGCAAAGGCGGGCAAATAGGATACAAAAGAAAGAAAGGTCAAATGTACAAGTAAAAGAGAGTAAATATACAAAAGAAAGAAAGATCAAATGTACAAGCAGAAGAGGGCAAATATGCAGTAAAAGAAAAAAAGAAAGGCATACAGACAGAAAGAACGAGTAAAAGAAAGAAATAATGTACAAGCAAAAAGGGCAAATAAAGAAAGAAAGAAAATAAG